TAGTTTTGGATAAGCAGTAAAAATGTAAAAATAATACTTACTATAACATGATTGATTGGGTCTCAAATTAAAATAAATTGCTTAAATGACTAAAAAGCTAATAACATCTGCCTTAAATCTTTTAACATGTTATTGGAGGGGTTCGAAGTATTGGATGAATAGAAACGAACATAAACTTTTATCTATGCATCATAAAATCTTAAAAACCAGTATAGCTTCTTAAGCTTCATTAACAATTTAAAGCATGGTTGCTGGGCACAACTTAAAAACAGGTCTCATTGCTAAAAATATGATGAGGATCCTAAAATAATACAAATTAATGCGAATCGATGACTAAGAATCATATTTACTCAATGGGGAGTTATGAATTAAATGAGAACTCATCCCATTTTCTTAAAATCACAAATTCATTAAATTGAAATCGAATTAAATAGAATATAACGAAAAAACTTGATGTTATATTGAAAGCGAAAGCCTGTAAAGAGAAAGTACAGATATCCTGATAATTGTTTTGCTTTAGTTGAATATCAAATTATTCAAAACAACAAATAAAAACATGAAATATAAAAATGTAGATAAAAATCTTTCGAATTTTACGAGACAAATTTCGAAAGCCATACAATAATGTGCGACATGCCAATTATTTTTTGTCTTTAATTGATTTTTATTTAGGTATTATAGTTGCAAAACAAGTTTTGATTCATAAATTAAGTTAAGCAAGATAATCTTGTTTAATGAAAGGAAATCTACCAAAATATAAAAGAACTGTGACATTTACAAATTAATGTTAATTTTCGAACTCTTCCCTTCATATCTAATACTTGGAATCATTGGAGGGTTTTTATTTCAATTCACAAACAATTTAACATATGAAAGGAATTGAAATTGCAAATGAGTGCATGTTAAGAGATTCTACGAATGTTAAAGAACTGAAATTGTTTCAGTAATATATATTTTTTAAATTAATTACAGTTAACAGAGACGCTCTTATTTATGAGAATTCTTTAAAACTCAAACGTACAAAGTATTCATTTACTTTAAATCATTTTGCTGACATTTCCTTATGGGTAGTAATACTATTTACTGTACAATGTCGTAGTGCTTATATAAGACATTGATGCATGCCAAGTGGCTATGTCGAGAACTGATGCCCAGCATGGTTACTTGCTCCATTGGTCCAAGGCAGGCAGATTTATAGCTCTGCATCGAAGCATTATAGTATAAGCAACAAGAGGCGCCCAAGTTTTCGCTTCTCACGCTTGTCAGAAAATGTCAAAAGTGAGTCGGCGAGTCGAAATGCCTAACAGAAGACTCTTCTTCACATTGCGGATGTTTCGACAACGTATGCGAAATTCACGACGCTGTTACTGTTGTTATTGTTGTGTCTGTTGCATTAATTTGAGGCATGCTGCCCATATGCTGGAGTGGATTGGAGTTTGTGGCCAGCTTTTGTTTAATTGTCGCAGGCGCCATGGTCAGGCAATGAAAAGGCAAAAGGTGAAAGACTGGCAGCCAGTTGAATGGGCAACGAACAATGCCGATTCCGCTGGCTGCTGTGTCATGTTAGTGGCGTCTTCTGTCTGCTGTTCGCTGTTCGCTGCCTAAAGTCTGAGATCTGCTGTCTTCGGCCTTTAGTCTTCTGAGTGCCTGGGTGCAGAAGATGACTTTTGATTTGCTGTGGACTTGGCGCAGTGTCGACACTGATGACCTTTTACGTCGCCTTAAATCTTCCTTCACTTCTCGTCGCTGCCACAAGCAACAACAACAAAGGTGAAAAATTTGCATATCATTGTGGCGAAGTTGTTGGTTTCTTTCTTTCAGCGGCCAGTCGGGCAGTCACCGATTGCAGCTCCTCCTTCGAAATTAGTTGGCCGTTGCGGGGGCTGTGTGTTAAAAACAATTTACGATTATTTGTCTGCGTCGCTTTGACTTTTGCATTGTTGATGGTAATCGCCACTATTCTACGCATAAGGGGGAGGGGAGGGACGGCAACGACGACAAAAGAGGTGATGGCGGCCATAAATTCAATTAAATGTCAAGGATTTGTATGGCTGGGAGAGTGAGCGGCTCTGAAGACAATACAATCAGCGGCCACTAATCGCTCACATGAAATGCCTGCAGGCTCAAACACCACGCAACCAAGCGACAGACTCCAAATGACCTCAAACCACAACCGCCCGCCCTCCAATTGCCATGTTGACACTGTAATTGAGCGCTGCCTGCCCAGCAATGGACTCGAAGGTCGATACCAGCTAAAGATGGAACTGTGTGTCGTGATTGTCTAAAGGGTGTGAGTCGTGAATAAAATGTTGTTCGACTTGATAGATTACAGATATCGAAATAAGTTATAAATTTCCCATCTTAATAAAAATTTAGAATTGTAGATATCGAAATAGGTGAAAAATGGCCCATCTTAATCAAAATTTAGAAATCAATTCGAGGACTGACAACAAGAATCAAATTTCAACAACAATTAAAATCACCTCCAACAAACAATTCGAACAGGGAATTATTTCTGTAAAAAATTAATATTACTTGCAAACTCAACTCATACATTATATCGATTTTAGGTTATTGAAACAGAAATTTGTCAATTTTACATCTATATAACCTGTATTTCTTTTCTTTGGGTATCCTAGGGTATCCTTGTATTACAACACCTTTTTTAAGCAAGGCCTATAAAATGCAAAAATTCGTTGACTTAAGGGATATTTTAATGAAATATGATTGATAAAGTCTCATGCAAAAAAAGATTCTTCTTTTTAAACAAAAATATAAAAAAATATTTGGCTTAAAAAAAGTATTACTTTTAAAGAAAATGCTTTGCGTTACAAATATAGCTGTGCAGCCTCCAACTAGCGTATAAATACCTAGTCTCTTGAATATAAAAATTGAAAAATTAATTATGAGAGTCCTGATTGAGTGCTGAAGTGCTTAAGTGTATATTTTTGTTGCCGTTCACTCACCTGAAAACGTGACACGCACGCAACCGTATCTAGGTTTTGGGGCTGACATTCTGCGCTGCCAAAAAAATGGGTGAGTTGAAGCGTTTACGGTTAAATTGTTTCTTTCACCCGATGACGCCGACAGTCACTTCGATAGCTGAATTGATTGCGCATGCGCCACATTGTCAGCCACCGACGCATTGAGACAACTTCAAATAATGCTCAAATAAATGGCCAACTTAGCGGCTTTGCATAAATGCATAAAAATAAATTCTATCATTTGTTTTGGTCTGTCATTGAGTTATTGTCTTTTAATGGCATTTGACGCGTTCAACTCTTGATTTTGTTATTTTTTTCCGGCTTCGCCTGCCAAGCATAGCAAAGCAAAGGTTTTGTGTCAAATTGTTTGTTTCTTTTGATAAAATTGACAGGCGAGTTAAGTTGAGTTTGATTGATATGGAAATATTGTTCCAAGTGCGAGATTACGAAATACTTTTGACGCTTAGTCAGCAGTCAGTGCATTGATGTGTGCGTCTAAGTGGTTTCAATGTCTTAAGAAGTGGAGTCCCCGAAAGTGGGTCAAGCACTTGCCTAGGCATATCCTGTTTTGCCGCGATCGCTCATTTAATTAACCAAACATCGACAAGGTGCGACTCACAATTCAGTGTGTGTGTGTGTGTGTGTGAGTTTGTGTGTGCCTATGTGTATGTGGGTATAAGCTGAGTCAGTCGGTGCAGCATTTTCGGAAAAACCCACAGCCATGCAAATTAATTAATGATGTGCCATTGCACGCGTCTCTCATGTGGCAACTCTAGAGATGCTGCCACTATCTGCACTACACATCCACCGTCGCGTCGGATGCTGCTGGATGACTCAAGATTGGAATGCGTGGATCAGACATAGACAACGAGTCAACTGTCGTGGGTTTGGCATGTAAATACTCGTACTCATGATAACTTGCCGAACAGCTTGTGACGCTTAAGATGCATCAAATCTGACAGCAGCAGCCGCAACTCTGTCGGCGGCGGAAGATTTCGAAAGAGGCGCATTAGGCCAAATTTAATACACAGAGCATTAAATTTACTATAATTCAACAAGCTTATATATGTACATATGTATATACTTATATAAGTATATGATGCTAAATTTACAAAAGCTGAGGAACAGTTTTTGGGGACTGAAATATTTTCGCCTAAGCTTTTACACTTAGGGTGAACATGGGCGGTTTATGAGATAACTGGTTGCAAGGTTAATCGAATCTCTGATCTTCAACCAACAAAGTGTATGGGCATCTCATATCTTTTTTTATGAGTTATTGTGTTTATTTGGTTAATTATTGTTTCCAGCTCCAGCGCTTATCTTTTCGTTCAGAATGTATGCATGTATATAAATAAATAGATATATAATTTTACTAAAATGTCTTTAAACTAGTGTAAGAACGCTTTGTGTTCAACTATCCTTGCGATTAATTTAAGTCATGCCCGTTCGTCTGGATGAACGAAAGTATCTCAAAAACTATAGAAGCTGGAATAACCAAAGTTGGAATCCAAATTCTCCTAATTCCGAGAAAGATTTTTTTTAAATTTCCAAACATAAAAAAAGTCTGATTCCCTTCTTTTCATTTTTACGAATTTGAAACGGCATGTAATTATAAATCTTCAAATATGTGCTGTTGAAATTAAACCTACTGCTCCATGTAAAATACTGTTTTGATTGATTTAAATACTCATATAAGGTATTCAAAATAGCTAGCAATGTTTAACATGTATATTCGTTTAAAATAATATTCAAACATTAATAAACGACAGTTGAAGGTGTTTCATATCTTGTTAACAAGTAAAAGATAAGACCATATTAATGGGTTTTAAAAAACAATCGATCCTTTTACTCAAGTCAATTTTGAATTGGAATGAAAATATCAAAGCATTATTTTGATCATTTGAACTGAAATGAGTATGATGGCGTGGCAAACAGATTGTGCTCTTTAAAGTGGTCTTAAGGTTTTCTAAGAACTGCTGGCAAACTTATTTTTAATTTGGCATTTTCTTTTTTCAGACATGCTCAGACCATAAGCAACCTGCTGCCACTTACACGCTATCCCAATTATAAATATACGATACTAAATGGCCGCTTAGCACACCGATTAGGGAGCTAACGAGAGTGAGTGGGACAGGAAGTCTCACATACACACACATGTGCAGCCATAGCCAGACAAGTGCTGTTGCCGTCTCGCAGACTTCGTGTCATTTAAAACGTATGCGTTTTCGCAGTTTTTGATTTGAAACACATACAAGGAAACACGCGCTCACCCTCTAAATCACACACATACACACGCACACACACACTCACACATTAGGCCAAAATGTGGTGCACGACAAAAATGGTTTACAGTTATAGAATTTTATGGCTTTCCGGCATTTTACTAGGTGAGTGAGTACGAGTGTTTTGGTGGCTCATCGGCTTGTTACTGAGCGCATTGGCCTCAATTTCAAGTCGAGTCAGAGACGATGCCGCAACATAAATTAAATGCTAAGTGCGTCGATTATCCAGCCGATTGAGGTTGGTTGGTTGGCTTTTTTTGGCTGTTTGGTTACTTGGCATGGTGTTACGCACGCGTGAGCCAAATACTTAAATTATGGCGAGCGTGGGCTGAACTACAAAAGCCGTTTCAATTGCCTGGCCATTGTATAATCAGTTTTGGTTTTGTTTATTTCTTTTACCTAAACACACACACACACACACACACATAACCATGCACAGCTCCCTTCTTGCTAGTCAGCATTGTAGCTGAGGACCCGGCCAGTCCAGTATTTCAAAATCATAAGACGAAGGAATGGACGAATTTAGATAATATAACATTCTCCTTTGATTGTAAGCGACGGTCAGTGGGCTTCTATGCCGACATGGAGTACAACTGTCAGGTGAGAGAGAGAGCGCATAACAGTGAGGGAAAGAGAGCACTTGAGAGCGAAAGAAGCTTTCGCCATACTTTTGCTGGTGCCGCCTAAAAGCATGCAACACTTCTAATTCACATTTCCATTTTATAGATATTTCATATGTGCGATGAGGAGGGAAATCGGATACCTCATCTTTGTGCCAATGAAACATCTTTCAATCAAGAATATAGAATCTGTGATTGGGACTACAACTTCAACTGCACAGAGTCGCCGGTATGTTGCCCAATACTCAATAAAATCTTTCGTTCAATGAAACCGAATTCGAATTTCACTTCTTATTCGTTTCAGAAATGGTTCTACCTTAACGAGCTGACCTATGCCACAGATCCGCCAGATGAAGATGACGAAGACTATTAATGCACTTAACTAAATATTTATTATCTTCTTGCGAAAGAGCAAACTAACTGAAAATCAAAACAAATACGCAATCGGGCCGGCAATGTTTTCAGATTTGCTGTTTCTGCGGCGTTTACTGTAAATTTCCACAAAATGTAATTTTAGTTGTTATTGAGTTTCGTAATTTTGTGTAATTTTGTATGTACCCACTATGTACACTGTATTAGTCTAATTGCTCAAGGTCATTTGCGTGAGTGTTGTGTAAATAATGTTGTAAATTTTTCCAATATATAGAAATATGAGCCCTGCATAAACAGCAACAATAACAAGCTGTTGTCTGTTTAGTTTGCAAATAATAAATTTATTTGTATGTGGATTAAGCAAAATAAAACGAAAGGAAATTGCGCCTAAGTAGCAACGATTATTTTATTACCTGCCTAATGTGTTTTGCTGTTACTAATAAGTTAGCTCTGCAATTAACAAAGTGCCACTTTGTTGCTAGCAAAATGGAAGTAATTTTTTAGGAGCATTACGGGAATCACATGAAAATAGTCGAAAAGTGGGGTAAACAACCCAGAGTGGCGGCGACAGATACGCGTATGAGTCAAGTTCAATGACGAAATCAACAGGTAACAAAAACGTTATAAAAATTGTATGATTGTATGATAGGCAAAAAAAAAAAAAAAAAATTGTCTAGTCGAGTTGTCAGTGCGTGAAATTGCCGTCACTTGATAATCCTTTTATAAAGAGCAGTGCCATCTATTGCAGCTCCACAGTCACAAAATAACACTTCAACTGTTGACCACACTTGGATATTTGTATAGCTCTCCAGCACTTGAACATGATGTCACGGATCTCCTGCTGCCTGGCACCTTTACTTCTGGCTGTGTTGACAGTAGTAAGTTTTAAAAATATTTGCACAAACATATAAATACTTACGGATGCTTCTCTTTTTTTGCTACAGTTCTGCAATGCACAGGTCTATCAGCAATATGATCCATACAATCGATACAGCAATACAAACTATGGAAATTATGGAAATACAAACCCCTATGGAAATACAAACCCCACATTTTCCAGTCTGAGCTCCAACTACTACTACACTACATATAATCCATATTATTACAGCACCTATACAACGCCATATCCATACAGCTACACTAATTCTATGAATTATCCCAAGATTCGCATTTGGCCCTATGTTGTGGGCCAATATTTATACCCATCCTATTATAATTCCAACTACAACAATCCATACGCCTCGTTCAATACGCCAAATTGGCAAAGTTATTACTCGAACGCCTACCAAAACAATTGGGGCAAAAAGTAGATCGCCATTAGTCCGTAAAACTCTTAGTTGTTTGTTGAAAATTGTTTAATAAAAGTTCCATATGTTATGGCCAACTAGTAACTTTTTTAGCTTTACAATAAAATAAAGTACTTACTTACTTAATTCGAATAATTCGGAATTTGATTGATTTACAACATTTCGATTTGGTTGCATTTATCATTTATCTAATTTATTTAAAGGTGAATAATCTGTAATTGAACATACAAATAATGGAATAGAGCTTGATCATGCTATTTTTTTGCGGCCGTGCTGAAGCGGCTTCGTACAAGTCCGGTTAACAACAATCCAAACATATTGGCTTTAGAAAGAGTGATTTTTGTTGCCAAATGTATAAAAAACTCCACTCAATTATTATATAGAATCAAATGTTTGATTGGAATTTCGACAGAGAAGTTGTGAATTGGATATGAGGCAAAAGCTTTGGTAGCAATTTTTATAAATGAAAATAACCTCAACTTTTATTCCTAAAAATGAATTATTCCTAAAGATATAGTTGGATTAGAAATGATACATATATAAGCTGTCTAAAATACATAATGATTGACATGAGGATTTGTAGGTTTTTATTAAATAAAAGCTTCTTACATTATGGGTAAAAAGCAAACACAACTTTCAATAACCGATATGTTTACATTCAAAATTAGACACAGGTCGGCGAGCTTTAAAAAAGTAATAAGTATGTGTGCACGTTGGTTAATCTTACACTCGAATTCCTGTCACAACAATTGGGTTAGGTATGAATAGCATTTGTTAGTAAGTCTGTTCATTCGATAAAGCCTTAGTTTATTACGAACAAACATTAGCCATAATTTTCTAACATCTTAGAATTGTAAATGTTCTTTAGATCGTTGGAAATTGTCGCTGACAGTTACATCATAAATATGTAAATGCGAAGCCAATGATGTCATAATGGTAAGTATGTAACTACGAGTATATAGTTCAGGAACCGTTAGCCACATTTCCACTCAACAGGCAGGTTGAAAAGCTTAAGCATTTATGACACTTCTGACACAGTTCGAAAATGTATGAAGAAGTCCACAACAATTGTTGTTGGATTTCACATAAACAAGCCACAGCCATAGACCCAGGCGACTATTGACATCCCGGAATTAAAAATTCATGGCCATGACATTAGAGCAGCATAGCCAGCCAACTGTGCGGCCTGCTGGTGAGCCCACCAATGCTTTAAAGTTGCCACGGCCAGGTGTACTTAACGGATTTCACAAACAAACAACAAAAGCCGTTTGCCATTACATAATGTGTCTGCTACGCATGAAAATATGGTACCCCTATGGGCTGTTAACTTTGACTTAAAGACAATAACTCCATTGCAGTGAGGGGGAGCAATGAACTCGCACATTTCGGGCCCTGGGCCTTCGGTTGCATTTTTATGTAATCAAATGTGTCAACGTTTTTATGCAACTCGATGCCCCTGAGACGGGGGTCTCAGCTTGGCGGCCAACTCCACATGCTGATCCACATACTCAGCCATTACTTACTATCTATGTCATTGTCTTCCATTCTTTTTGCTTGCTTGAACACCAAAGAATAATTCTAATGATTAACTGTAAGCTGTAGGGCCTAGAATTTGACACATTTGCATTCTATCAAATACTTCAGAAAAATACTGTTTTAAGCACAGAGCTGAATCAAAAATTTAGTGAAGAACCGCTATGGCATTATGCTGCACGCACTTTTATCATGCAAATCATGCGAATGGTAGCCCCTGGTGAATGGGCCGCTTGCCGAGTAAGACCAGACAGAAACAGAAATGGGTCAAAACAATCACAAAACGGCGTAAACAACATAGACTGTGTAAAAGGCAGCCGGCAAAAGTGGTTGGCACAAGTTACCCAGAAAGAGTTACAAAACAAACAGCCACGAGAGCCAAACAAACCTTGAGATGGACAAACGATCGGCGTGATTTTCAATTAAATTTAAAAATTATTTTCCTTTAGTTTCTCAAAAGGCTGGCTTAGAATATATAAAATCAATGAACAATATTTGCAATTTATTCCTTATTCTTCGATATTGTTTATCAAATTAGGAGTTTTTATATTCTCAAAGAAGATTTCGCAGAGAAATGATAGATTTATTATGGGAATATTTCCGTTGTATTTCACACAATCATATCAAACCATTGTACAAGTATTTCGAAAAGAATTAGTTACATTTAAAGCTAAGAGGCTACTACATTCCAGCACTAATGAAAATCAAAATTTTCAATTATTTTGTAAATTCTTAATCTTCATTTAAGATCTGTCCTAGGTTGGAGAATTTTTAAATTGTATGATAACTTTGACATTTTTATACCCTGTACCCAAAGGGTACAAGGGTATATTAGTTTTGTGCGAGTGCACATGGAACACACAGAAGGAGGCTTGGTAGACCCCACAAAGTATATATATTCTTGATCAGCATGACAAGCCGAGTCGATATAGCCATGTCCGTCTGTCCGTCTGTCCGTCTGTCCGTCTGTCTGTCTGTCTGTCTGTCTGTATGAACGCAAGGATCTCCGAAAGTATAAGAGCTAGAATAACCAAACTTGGTATACAGATTCTCCTGAGACCGAGAAAGGACGAGTTTGTTCATTTTTTCTGATCCACCCCCCCACTCCCCCCCTATTAACGATTTTCTATAACTCCCGTAATTCTTGGAATTTTGAACTGAAATTTGGTAGACACATCCAGTTAGTAATTGTATATCCGTATACCAAGTTTCATTATGATAGAATGATTGGAAAGAAAGTTATAGCCATATAACCAGGCCCAATGCACACATACATACATATGTACAAGTACACAAACACGCATAAGGCACGATTCTGATGTAAATGTAAATGTATGTATGCATGCATGGAATATTTAGTTAATTAATTAAATTAATTTAGTTAATTAATTAAATTAAATTAATTAATTAAATTAAATTAATTAATTAATTTAATTAAATTAATTTAATTACTTTTTTGTGGGGTGGTACAGGGTATTTAAGAGTTGAGCCTGCTCGACTTTAGCATTCCTTTCTTGTTTTATTATTCTTCAATTAACACCAACCAGTGAGACAATTTATATATTGGACCTGCATTTTAAAATACGAGTTCCCAGAATTTGTAACACCATTAATTGTGGACGAAGCAAGAATATGTTAAGAATCATATTCTTTTCTTTCTTCAAAATTATTTTTTATATTTATGGCCCATTTAATTTCTATTGTTGTAAATTATTTTTAAACGTCTTGAGATGGAGTGTAAAATTGAGAAGCAAAAACAATTGCGCATCATTGGCTTAGAGGTTTTAATGTACAGTTTTTCATTTTATTTCATATATTATAATGTTTTGTGATTTGGTCAGTGTTGTAAAGTTGTTCATAATGCGATCATCGCGATAATCGCGGTCACGTCGCACTACCATCGCTGCCTGATTCACGCAGGGCGCTGGGTGGCGGAGAGCGTCACGTTGCTGGGTCAAATGCGGCGAGTCAGCGAGCGTGACGTCACCAGACGCGTCTGTCACGTTTGCAAAACATTTTCGTGCTCTCGCCCCTTACACGACCATTCGTAATAAAGTCAACAGCAGCCGCTACTCTGGCGACAACAAACAAAAACAACGATAGCCGCGTCGGCATTGACTTTGCACTTTTGCTGGAGCGATATTCTTCTTCTTCATCTTCTTGTTCAGCGTCTCCAGCCTTTTAGGGGAAATTGTGAAGAAAGTGTTGAAAATGAAATTGTAACTGGGGAGCGTGTGAGCGTTGACTGAGCGGCGTCTTCGAGTGACTGAAGAGTGTTGGAGTTGTGGCTGTCTTGGGGTGAGAGTAACGCTAAGAAAACACGTCGGTAGCATGGCAAAGAAAAGCTGGCCCGGTGAGAGCATAGTGGCAGTGGCAGCGGCAGCTACAGCTGCAGCCGCAGCAGACCTTACCTGTTGGCCATGGCCAGCGCCAAGTGGCAGTCTACGGGCATATCTGAAGCGCTGCAGTTGCGTTTAGCTATTCGACATAAGATTCTCTCCATCACTCTCGTAACTACATCTATCTATTCGTCAGCACTACGCTACTTCGACTCACAGCTGCTTCTCCTTTTTTGGCCAATCCAGACATCTGAGCTTAACAATTTGCGTGTGCGGTCTCCAGATTCGTGTTTCTGCTCGTTGTTGTTGTTGTTTTGGCGGTGCTGTGCTTCTGTGGTATTGCGTGAAAGTCATTCGAACGTTCGTTACGATACGATACATATGGCTGTTATTTAAAGTTCAATGAAATAATTAAGGATACTTGAAATAAAAAGCACAAATTGGCGCATCCAAAAAGTGAAAACAGACACGCAACCAAACAAAGGCTCGACTATCAATACGATTGTGCAGATAAAACCTGATAATGGTGAGTAAGAGCTTTAGATGCCCCTGTGGGGAATTCCAAGCACGAACTATTTGGCCGCTTTACCTCGTTCCCTTGTTCTTTGTCAGTTCGTGATTAAAGGAATGACAGCTCGACACGCACGCGACAAAAGGGCTAACAGTCATTGTTATTTGTTAGTGTTTTAAGTCATTGCTGAACTAAAATTGTATTCTTTAGTATGTTACATACATACTATTGGTATGCTGCTTGTTGTACTCGCAATTTGTTAGCCATGTATTTATCTTTTGTCACTGGTCCAAAAGCAAACTTTCTATTGAGGCGTGTTGCCATTGCTGGAGCCAAAAAAACACATTCATGTTTAGTACTCCATTATAAAGGCACTAGCGCTAATGCTACCATTTCATTTGTGTGCTATTCAATTTTCTTTGTTGCCTCTCTTGACCACACTTCAAAAACGCTTACATTGAAGTCGTGGAGTGTCATGAACTGCGACTTGGTCGCAATTATTGACATTAAATAAGTAATTACCGCATGTAAGATGGCATCACTTTTTATTTCAATTGTGTGTCATTTGTTTTTATTAGCGACCACGTGCCTTTATTATTATCGCCCTCAAACATGTACCACACATGCTCCATGACATTTTATTAATTTTACTGAGTCGGTTTATAGCACTTACACAATGGGAAAGTTATGCATGTCATCTGATATATGGCCGAGGAATTATGTAGGTTTAGTATTTTACGAGTCTCTGCATGAGATATAGGGGAGATGGCATAAAACGTAATAAAAGTAAATTTTGTAGGCGTGCATTTTCTTAAGCACTCACCTACAAAGATTAAAAAGAAAGACTGGGAAATTTATGGATCTGTAAATGGGGTGAGATTAAGGTTGGGCTTGGAAATATTAAACACTGGGTAATAAATTGCATTCGATCGATGCTTGCGACTTTTAGCCTCGATATTGCAGTAGGTAGATTATTATATTATAAAATTCGAAATTAGGGCGTCTCATGGCAGGGATACCAGGAGCTATAAAAAAGTGTACTCCGACTTCTTAATCATCAATAACTCTTCACAGTTGTTCTACTCGTCCTATTTGTTGTTTTCTTTGTTATATTATTTAAAATTTTAAAAACATATTGCGACTTTTTCTTCAGCGTTTTAGAAAAGTAAACATAACAGGAATTTATTTATATGTCCCTATATACGATTCTTCAATCCATTCATACATTTTTTGGGTGCGTATTAATTTTATTTTGTTTTATTAACACCTTAAAAAATATTCGAGCTTGACTTTTATTTGGAATGATTGTTCTTTTCTATTTTTTTTTACTTATTTTCATTCTGAATTGAAACTATACTTTTATTGACATCAGATTTAGAGGAATAAATGTTACATGTTACATTATTTAAAATTAAAACTGTTGGGATAATCAAGTAGTACGTTGAATGAGTTTCCGTAGTTTGCATGAGTCACATCAATTGGAATTTTATGATAATTGATAACCAATTACCAGCAAAAACTTAAATAGTTGTTTTTATTTTTATAAAGCAAAACAAATTAATTGTAATTGGAAAAATTCGTAATAGAGCACTTCATTTTAGAAAAACATAATGCTTTGTGGAATCATACATAGTGATATAAATGAGCAATGTTATTAAATGCCAACATTTTGTGCCCCAAAAAAAAAAAAACCCGAAACCCAACCCTAAAGGCAGTCGCATACGCAAACTGCCATAATTTAGCTAATTTGGCATAAACAGTCACAGTGATTAACACCAATTTGTTGAAAAGTTTCGGGCGAAATTTCAGCCTTGAGCCAACAAAAAGTGCAAATATTTAAACAAAACATATACATGCGTTGAAATTTCTCCACGTCTTCTGCTCAGAAGCTGACACGTCACAGACGGCTCTTGAAAGTGAAACAGCCGGTTTGATGTTTTAAATTGTTGGCCACAAATTAGTGTGCTTTAGTGCGTATTACGAAATAGCTGGTTGATCGTGGGCCAATCATCAAAGGTACAAATTAAATTATGCCAGAGATATTTATTTGAATTGAGCGTAAAACAGAAAAGTCAAATATCAAGCTCTGACAAACAGATGAGCTGCATGTCTAATGCGAAGTGAAACTAAGCGGGAAAAACTGAGTTCAGTCCATCAATCCGATCCAATCCGATCCGATCCGAACTATCTGTCCATAGCTCAATATTTAATTATGCAAATTGTTGTCAGAAAAGACGCCTATGCTGGTGCATTATTTAAATTTAACAGGCCTTTTTCTTTAATGTTTTACGACAATATTTATATATATAAATAAAAAACATGTTAACAGATAGTTTTCTATTCGCGTTGTTGCATCATCGTGAAAGACTTTCATTCATTGTTTCTATCGCAGAATGCAGTTGCTTCACAAATCGGAAGTTTTTAACAAAAGCAATGTAAAATGTCTAATTAATTTTGTTATTTAGTTGGCATTCAATCAAGGCCAACCGAACGATTTCCATTTACAGTTAAAGCCAAAATATAAACACTAGCCGCATAGCCGCAAATGTGACCCACAAAGTGCTTTGTGGCATGCGAAAAGCGCCAAAGAAAAGCAAAAACAAAGCTCAGTCAACAACAATACGGGGTATACAAGATTGTAGAAGAATGCGCTTCTCTTTATTAGATAATGCAAAACACCAACAAATTATGTCAAGTTGTTGCTTACATGCAAATATTCTGGCAACATTATTGGGTCAGTGTCCACCGTCTTTTGTTCAATAATTAAGATTTGCTGACCCCATGGCATTGTATCGTCAATTTATGAAATGGAACCAACCGTTAGGCCAAGCGTGAAGCTCTAGAAAATTGGCTAGACTTTGATTTGTTATTTATTTGTTCTCCTTGGCCAAGAAACTATCACTTGACCAATTGGATTGGTGCCTAAGTTTTTGGCTCGCCAAGTGAAATTTTCTCTTTGAATTTTGGGTCAGCAGTTAGCAATTAAAATAAAGTAAGTTCGAGTTCAGAATTCCATTTGTAAATTAAAATGAAAAGCGCACTTAAGATTACTTTCAATTTTTTGCATATTCTTGGGAATATTTTCCAGCTAAATTTATAAGCTACGCTTTGTTACCAAAAAAAATATCCAGGGCCAATTAAAAAAAAGTAATTTTCACTATTTTGCTTAGAATTCCATTTGTAAATGAAGATGACTTAAAATGACTTTCAATTTTTTGCATATTCTTGGAAATGTTTCTCAGCTAATTGTAAAATTATAAAATACGCTTTGTTACTAAAAAGTAGCATTTCACACAGCTGATGGAAATGAGGGGAGTGAGCAAATATATTCAGGCCAATGGAAAGAAATTTATTTTGAAGCAACTATTTTGTTTAGAATTTCATTTGTGAACTTAAATGGAAAGCGTGCTTCAGAAGGCTTTTAATTTTTTCTATATTCCTGGGAATATTTTTCAGATAAAAGATAACTGTTAGCTAATAAGCTACGCTTTGTTACCCAAAAGTGGCATCCCACACAGTCGGATAAAGATTGAACAAATATATATCTAATGCCTTATACAATATCCGTCTTAAAACAATAAACATTGGCAGATATATGTGCGTATTTTGTGTTTGTTTTATGTTTGGCAATTATTTACATAACTAAAACATTTAAATTTGCATCTAAATTGCCACAGACACATACAATTTTGCGAGTTCGCATCAAGTCAGAGTCTGCGGAAGTCAACGTTAAAAGCCGACAATGGCCAGTTAAGGTCTTGGTATGTATTTTGTGACAACCCGCTGTTGGGTTGCCCCTGTCTGAGTGGGATTGCATAAAAAAATAACAATAACAAAATATGAGTGATGTTATTTCATAAGCCACAAAATGGGAAATGCTTCCAAAAAGATGAGTAAAGTAAAGGCCATAAAATGTTTGATGGGTTTGCTGTAATGGCATGGCCTTCCGCATTACATTTTATGGATTCTTAAATACTTTACATCGTGCACTTAACGCACACATTCCAGCAAGTTCGTTGCCTAAGTCTTTTGTTCAGTTGACGCAATTTCCGTACTCCGAGTGATGAAATGCGTTTTAAGCGCATTGTCATGACTTTCAGGCCCACAAACACACACACACACACACACACACACACACACACACACACACACACACAGATAGACAAGCGCATACTCTATTACAATTTCTCCAACGGTTTTGCTGTACTTTCAGTTTCTCACAAAAAGATCAAGTGCGCCGCGCACTCTGCTCGTGTTGTTATTGGCGCTGTGCTGCCTGAGCAGCGCATTTGGCGCTAAGATAACCAAAAAGACCGAGAAGCAAACACAGAATAATAGCGAAGACAAAGCTCAGGTCGCTGCTGCCGTAGAAGAAGCAGAAGCTGAACAAGCTGCTGATGAAGATGATAATGATGGCGATGATGACGACGACGATGACGATGAGGAAGCAGACAAAGAGGCGGCAGCGGCAACGGCGACCACGACAACAACGAGTGCAACTGGTGACAAGAACGCCGTCCAACCGGCCGATCCCACAGATCTGAGCGTTTGGGGTATGGTTCGCACACTATGGAGCTGGCTGCGCAGCGACTTAAGTGAAAGCCTGTTTGGCGATGACGATGACAAGCCAACATCTGCAGTGGGTGAGTAATGGCAGCAGCAACTGCCTCCTATTTCGCAGCCAAAACCAAAAGGCGCTGCAATTAGTGCAGCTGTAGCATTATTTAGTTGCACCACAAAGTGATGTTGATTGAATTTTGGAAATCGCATCGATTCGTCGGCAATTGGCACCTCAAAAAGCTGATTGGGGGATTATTACGTGCACAGCGGCGCTTCTAATCAAAATTGAATTTCCAATGCGGCGGCGCTTGACTCACTTTCGTTTTCAATGAAACCTGGCGCGCTTCGTAGATTTAAAGAAAAAGAGTTATGCATGAAACAACAACAATAAAATAACAAGCCACAAAAACGCTTAAAGGTGTTAACACAAAACACAAAAATCTTTTTGTAGACACTCCACTGCGTGCTGACCTAAGGCGTACACTCAGAAAACGGTCTCCTAATTGTTGAATATGCATTTATTTAACATTAAAAATAAGATTGAAACATTAAGACATATATAAAGTTAAATAAAAAAACCTTAAAAACTGGGACCCTTATCGTAAAAAGTAAAATTAAATGAAAACTAGACAAACACAAATGGGGAAAATGTCCATTTTATATAAATAATAATGTTGCCACGATGAAATAATTGAATATTTTCAAAAATTCATTCGCTTAATTTGATAAAGAAGAGCCATAACCAGAGGAAAACTTTCAATATTTTCTTTCTTCAATAATATTCGCTTTAATGTGCACATTAATTTGTAACAAAAATTCTTTTATGGTTGTTTTATGTTTTACTTAAAGGCGTCAGGCTTTGGTTGCCTCGTGGGGCTTCAGTTGTTTAGCTATTATTATATTTATTTGCTTATCTAACAAAATGTCTATCCTTTAGGGATAGCGGCTTTAATATTTAGTGTAGAATAATCGAAAGATACTTGGGGAGTACGAGAGAAAGGTAGTTTCGCATGAACATCTATCTGTATGAGCTTTACTATGGCATGCAAATTGTTCGACTAATTAACATCAAGCGTTTTCGTTGGTTTTGCAAAGTTGTGCAGCGATGAAAAAAGAAATTAAAGAACACAGCACAAACTGAACTTCATTGAAATATGAATATTATTAGTTACAAATTGTAATTCTTGGTTCGTTCTGCAGTTAGTAACAAGAGGAAATGTTACAGTCGGGTGAGCCCCACAATGAAATATCTCTCATCCAAATAAGTTCTTCCACTGAAACAGAAGCAAATCGAAGAAGAAATAGAAGCATGTTGCTGTTACAGCGTGGGGCCATTGTTTTAACCAAACATTGGTTTCAGAATAAATATTCAGGCGATAATAATAATAATACTATATTATAATTTTTCAGTAGGGGAAGAAAATAAATATCGATCGATGGTGACTGCAATTCAATTTTTTGGCATGCCGGCGACGGTTGGGTTCCGAAATAAGGCGGCCTTGTAATCCGACCTAAGAACAAACAAAAAATTAGTTATAAAAAGTGACACACAACTTGTAGATGGCAATTTTTTCTGAGTGCACGTATTTATGTTTACTTGTTGATAGATGTGTGAGCACAGAGTGTTCGATGTCGCAGTTACTGCTCGTTTACTCTTGTATTTCTCCTTTCCAACACCTCGTTGTAATTTCACTTTCCGCATTTTTTCTAGGCCGCCTGGCCAAGTGCGCAAAATTATTAAGACATACGCACTACTCATACACACATACATACATAGATATGTATATGGGCCTGAGAAAATAACATTGCTGAATTTTCGTTTTTGTCTGTGGTCTCTTGGCTTTTATGGATTTCGCATAGCTAAGCGTTCAGCTCTGTTTATTGATGAAATTTTAGTAATAAGCAGATAAATAAAAATAATCATGGGTTGGTTTTTTTTGGGATCGACGTTTTTGATGGTTTTCAGACAATTAAATTCATTTGCGATAAATATCACTGACCACAACAAAAGACTTTAAACTTAAACTTGCCTAGTAATTGAGAGTGGATTTCTAATTTAATTCTTTGCTTTCCAATTTCTCACGCAGAGGGTCGCACATTTGGCAAAATTCGACGTCTGCAAATGGCGCTCATCCCAATTATCTTCAAGTTTGGCGTACTATCCGCCATGGTGGCCTTTTTAGTAGCCATAGGTATGAAGTCGCTGTTCCTGCTCAAGGTGCTCGTCGTCATGAATGCCGTTGCCATATTGGGGAAGTTCCTAACTTTGAAGACCACACTCTTCGGCCAGTATGAACACTCGGCGCCTACCTTCAGCTATCCGGGCTGGAATCCCCATGCCAAAGAATCGTGGGCCCCAACGGGTCCAGCGCAGCAGTCACCACATACGCCCAGCAAGGAAATACATCTGCACATCCATGGAAACACCAACGGACAGATTGCAGCCAACCAGGGCTACACCTATGACACACAGGGCTGGCAGAGTCGCTCCGATCCCTATGGAGCCTACATGCCTACCGGCAACACAGGCACCCAATATTTGGATGCTCAAAGCGAGCTTCCCAACAACACCGACCCGATGTCGCTGCTGCCCACAAAATATCCGGCGCGGCAGTTGATACGCTAGAAAGCTGGCGCAGTAACAACGACCACCTAGTACACTTTTAGTCAGCGTCCACTCAATGGCGCAGCTTTATTTAAACTAATTAATTAATTAAATTAATTTAACTTAAATTATTCTCCCTTCAATACCTTGTAAATAGATGTAATTTCAAAGATCTATACTGAGCTGGCAATTTAGTGTTTATTCTTTTCACCTAAACACAAAATATATATGGTGAAATCAATTATAAAATACTTTTATGTACTAAACATTCCATAAATTTATTTTGATAATTTGAAGTTCAAATAGGAACAGGCTTCGTCATAACTTTATTCATTCTACTTAGGTTTCATTTAATTTAAACTTTTTTCCTAATTCTTACAACATCTTTAAAGTCTTAAGTACAGTCTACTATTAATTTAAATCTGAATACTATTTATTATTATTTATTAAATTAAAAAAAAGAGAAAAAAATGACTTTTATTGCCGCGCTTTTTTGCTCTATTCGTTTGATTCGTTCGGTAATGAAACAATTAGCAACTCCCCCGAAGTCAAGTCGCCTGACAATCTTGATTGATGTCTGGGCTGCCGTTTCATGCGAAGAAAGTCGGCTTGGGTCTGTGATTAATTGGCCACTTGACATGTGCCTCTGGAAACGGCTTAGACTGCGGCATCGACTCCGGTACTGGGCGTTCACGTTTTGCTGTCTAATCATCGACATAATCGCCAACAATGGCCACAGACAGCATTGAATTGGAAGTCAAAGTCATGACATTAGATGTTAGTTTTGTTGTTTTCGTTGCTGTTGGTGCTGTTGCTGCTGCTGCTGCTTCGGTAGCATTTCGGATGGTGGTAAGAGCAATAAGGAAGCAATGAATGTGGCCACAAAATCATTTCCAATTTGGGCAATCATCGCCAACGTGCTCGTCAATAGTGGCGATAGGTTAAGTAGTCGCTTTTGTGAGGGTAACATTCATTAGCGGTACTAATGCGGGTGTGGTGCTCCGATTTCAAGCTGCAACTCCCTAATAGGAGTTTTCAATTTCATGCAAACATTTGTGGATTACGCGGGTAGTGTAGCCGAGAAGGAGATTGAGTTGAAAAGCGATCGCTAAGTGGATTAAGAGATCACGTTGTGGAGCAAATATGAGTTTGTTGAAGTTTAGTTTTGAGGTTGATTGATGGCCGTTTTGCTTTAATTTAATCGTCTGTTGTTGTTGCTTACTAAAGTTTGTCTTAATAATGGCGATGTGTTCGATACGGTCATATGTTGACATAAGCAGAAGTTGATCAATGATATGAGAACTAATAATCGATTAAATAATAAACAAATACAAAACTTTTTTTTAGATGTGATGCCTATGTCAATTGAGTAGCAATAGATATGTCGAGAAATCTATTTATGAAATGAAATGTTTAATTTAATTACATTTATTCTATTTATTATTCACTTTAGATTAAATTCCACTGGCAATATACGTGTATATGGCAACTGATTAGCTGATAAAAAGGCAAAAGTTACTGCTGCTATGGTTTTAGCCTTATTCATTATATACAAATAATAACATATAAACAAGCCCACTAATCGAAATACAAATCAATATTAATATGAGGTACTAAGATTTTAATACAAACCCGTTTCATACAACAAATTTGTGAATCCTTAAACCGTCAAGAAATGTGGAAATTCAAATGCATAGACTTTATTTAGGGTGCATTCATATTACTTTTTAGATAGATATAAATATAGTGAAAAGAATCACTGTGCATATAAATGATTCTATTACCTCAAAAGCTAAAGCTGTAGCCTAGTTTGTGGATAAATAAATGAAATTTCGTTTCAACATTCGCATATTTTCAAGCCTCTGTATGACATTTAAGAAACAAGTTTCCATTATATTTCAACATATTCCTGGGTAGGTGCACTTAATTGAAATAAGACTTCAATTCCTTTACTCCGCGTTTTTTATATTCTAAAGTTGTGCCTCTTGTCTAAGCCATCCAATGTTGTTTATGTACTGGTATTTTAGCACAAAGCTCGATAAACTAGCAAGAGCTCAAATATTTACTAGTTAAGTACCATGTATATTGTATATATTGTGTATTGTATATATTGTATATTGCTTTTACTTTCGTTTTATTTCAAGGTACTAATGAAAATTTTCTGAATGCCGACACGCACAATCCTATTGATAAACATATTCATAATTGCCGCTGCGTTGTGGTATTGGAGAGCAATGAAATATCTCCACTTACCGTGAAAAGAAAGAATTTGAAGCCACCGGCCTATTTTGTGCGTGTCACGCCCGTATAATTGGGCAAAAACAAGATTGCTGCTTATTTGCGTCAGAAAATAGATTTCAGACACGCGGCTTTCAAGTTGCGTCAAATACTATACGGGTGAGGAAAATCGATGCGGCATTATTAAGATGCCAATGCAATTACATGGTACCCAAATTTGATGCATTAAAATGATTAAAGTTGTTAATTAAGCCGGTACTTGGCAAGAGAATTTGTTGACTCAGCCTTCTTTCCATTATATTTATATTAAATGAACCACCGTAACCAAATTAGTATTTTAAGAAATATAAATCAATAGCTTGCCTATGAAAACGATTTAAAAAGTAAATTACAATTTTTTTTATATTTTTTAAAAATATGTTTCTAGTTATGGGAACATATTTATTCCAATTATATATAAGTTTAAAAAGAAAGCAAAAAATCGAAGGTTTTTTCGAAGCCGGCAAAAGCGAAATCGGCAGAGCTTTTAATTTTTGTTTTGAAAAAACTGATAACACTAAACAACGTTGGCAAAATTCAATGCCATGGAATAAAAATTAAAAGCATATTTGTAATATTTTTATAGTTTTAATATTTATTACTTTTAACCATATAACTGTTCAAATAGTTTTATTCGCTGTGTTTCCTACGATATTCGTTAATACTTGCACATGTTGCCATCTGTTTCGAAAAGCTTGATTTGAATCACGCATGAAGTATGTACGTGAAGACGTACAATGGCGCCCAAACAGTTCGGCTGCCTGCCTAAAAGTATGCACTAAAATTTTTTTTCGAAAGCCACCAATAAGTTTGTGTCTTAAGTCTTTTAATTAAAGTTAGTCATTATAATTGTCGCAAAGTAAAGAATGTGAGGGAACGTTTGGCTTCTGTTCTGTACATATCTGATTATATAATGTGTGCCTTCTCCCACCCATCACAATTTGTAATTAAAATTTTGAAAAGCCATTTCAAATGCATTGTTAGTGTGTGAAAAATAAAACTGTGAAAACGAGAAGCGATTGGCACTAAAAAGACTCGGCTGACAGCTGTAACAAATTAATAACAAATGGCACATATGTATCTAGTTTCGAGAAATATGTATCTTTTAACGCAACTTTAGTGGTAAGTGGCAGCCATGAAATGAGTTGGGCGCAGGCGCCTAGTTGAGTTGCCGACACACAAAGGCAGGTGGAAGCTGGACGTGCCATGTTTAAAGCTCGATTTATGCGCGCACAGCGTACTCGCACTTGTCAATGTCATAAGCAACTGTTTTTGCTGACGGTTTGGGAAGCGCGTACTTGGTCATCATTAGATTTGTGATGTCTTTGTACAAATGGCACAAGACCGCGAAGCTGTTGTCGTTTAATTAAAAATGAAAACGCTATACCCGCTCAGCTCGGCCTTTTATAGTTTACCACGAAATTAATTAATTGGAAGGCTAAAAAATAAAATCATCGACAAGGTGACGAACTATATTGTGTGTGTCGCCATTTGTATTTGTGGCTATATATTACAAGTTGTTGCTGCCAAATTCAACGATCTGTCCAACAATCGCTGTTGCAATTGAAGACGCAGTTAACGTCGCATTTAATAAATTTCACTGGTTTCTAGCACACCGGCCGTGCTTTTATTGAAATGCGGCAAAAGGTTTTCCTTTTTGCCAATTTTCATTTTGTTTTCTGCTGCAAATCATCAGCCTGCAGCTGCAATTCCAACAACTTCAGCAGATCCCGCCGCAGTAGCGGCTTGTGTCTTATAAAATGGGGATAATTGCAACTGACTGGAAAATGTCCAGTGTGGCGGCTGACAGCGACAGCGACACCGAAACCGACACCGACACCATCACTGGGACACTGGGCTCTCACTCTTTGTCTAACATGATAATTGGACGTTGTGCATGGACATGTCGCCAGTAAAGGATGCCTTTGATGCATTTCCCTTGGACAGCATATACGACATCTTTGGCATTGCTAATCAGCTGGCCATCAAACCCTCTAGCCCAATTAATAGCAAGCGCGTTTTCTTCTTCTTCTTCGTCCATCTAAAGACTCGCAGTCGGAGCAGCTCTGAAAGTGAAATTGATTTATGCTTCACGTATTCGGGTCTGTCTGTCTGTCTGTAAGGTTTGAGTGGTCATCGGATCGTGCGGAGCGTTTCAATTCTCACCACCAGTCCGCATTTCGTAATCAAAATGCGAGTCCAGTAAAATGTTAAGCCAAAATGGATTTTGATAACTTTGGGGTGCCGACGGCGATATTTAATTGAAAAGGCACACCCATATCGCTCAATTTAGGCAATTTGCAACTTTCATTTTGACACCTCATCAACAAAGCAGGTGACACTTGTAGAAATGCTTAGATGAATTGTTGATATTTTTTGTGGCACTAAGCTGACAATTGCTTGGGCCTCGTTAGAAAGGGGCCCTTTGGCAGGTGCTCCGCCTATTTGGCTTGTCCAATGAGGCCTGGGATGGATTCACAGCATACAGACAAATCGCATTAGGGTGCTAATTGTCAAAGCAAATAAAATAACAATCAAAACAATTAGTTCCCTTTCGACCTTTCATCATGCAAATAGATAGAAAACTTTCTATTTCCATTTGAGAAAAATGCAGATTGCAGAATGTGACAATGACGTAATTGTTTAGTTTAGGTTGTGTAAGGGCAGTGCTAATTAAATTTTCAAACTGTTAAGGCTGTTTGTGAGTTCATTAAATAGGTGTTAAGTGAAAGACTTTCAAGACATGGAAAAGAAGAAGGGCCGGGCCATTTCTGAAATAAGTAGTTGGCTAACATATAGTATTGATGCTAGTTAGCATTTAAAGTGTTAAAATTATGAAAGCTGTTGCCGGCAATAAATTATTTAGGATTAGCGCTTCCAGACATAAGACTATTTGTTTAAGATACTATTGCATCAATAAAAAATGCTTGTAGCTCGGAACTACTTATATTTGTCCATTTTCAGCGGCCTTGAAGATTAATAAACTACAGCAATAAGAACAAGAGCAGTAAAATAGGTATACATTTTTAACCTACAACACCTGGTGTCTCTTAGAAAACCATATATTTGCTCAAATTTTCCTCATTTTCTAACTTCTCCTTACTACAATGATGGAAAATTTATAGTTATGTTTTAGTGTCATATCATAAGGGTCTACAAAATAAACAAAATTATTTCTTTATTAGAGGTTTTTATCAAATTATTATAAATATATAAGCTAATAGGAACTTTAGAGGTTAGGGATCAATCCTGCTAAGTCAAAAATTAATTTCTAGTCCTTTTATTTAATCGACAAACAAGCTGTCGTTGTAAAAAAATCAAAACAATAGATAACTGAAACCATGTACATAAAACAAAAGAATAAAAAAGCCTATATAGAAATTATAAAGATATTTTATATGTAACTAACCCGACTTGGTGGGGGATTTTATTTGCCAAACAACCTGCTATGAACCGATTTATAGCAGAGAGTAGTCGACCTATTATTAGATCTATCTAAAAAAAATGTTTATAAGGAAATAGCAATAAAAAATAAAAAAAAATTTAATTAATGTAAATGAATTAAAATTAAAATATTTAAATAACAAAAAATATTATATAATTAAAAGCTAAAAGGAGGAGAATCACTGAGGGTGAATGTTCATAAGGCAGTTTGGCAATCTTTTTTTTATTTTTATTCATAGGTTATTAATTAATTAACTAATTAAATTAATAATTTAGGTTGAACGTTTAAGTAATTCCTGTAGCTATTAATATTAACTGTTGATCATAATCTCATTTAAAAAACCAAATATTTTGTAGGCAAATGTTGGGGTTTCCAAATATCCAAATAAAATGCTTCTCATATTTTAAATTTGAATTAACATTTATTCATTTGTCGACAAAAGTCTTAGCTAAAAGGTATTAAAGTAAAGTATAGTAATACTTTTTAATTCTAATATAATTTTATGAATTTTGCGTTAACAATTTGGAAGGTGAAACTGTACAGGTAGATGAAGTTAAGTCAAAATTGAGAAAGAGGTTGAGGCTGACAACGCTTAACAGCATTTTATGTACTTATAAGGTATTAATCAAATACAGCCAAAAATTGTTGTTTTACAAGTATGTTTACTAAAAAGTATGGCCTGTGAATTCCTTATGAATATTTACATATGATAACGTGCACGTCAAACGAAAGCAATTCAAGCGTTAATTTCGTAGAATAGGATGAAGATAAATATAGGTTTCTCAAATAAGTAGATCAAATTTGTTTACCGAAAAGATATACAAGCTTGAAAAATATGTATTCCAAAGTTTTCTTTTGTACCAATTCATCCATTTTCTAAAGCTTTTTTGTAAAATTGTATAGCTTTTTCACTCTGTCTGAAAATTTGGCATCACTGGCCCTGGTTAGGCTTTACTATTCCTGTATGTTTATCGCCGATATATCTAAGCCGGTATCTTTATTCTAATTGATTAATATTTGCATAAGTTAAACGCCATTTTATGTTAATTTACCTAAATAGTCTCATTTGCAAATTAAATTAAATATACGCTAAATCTAAAAAAAGTTGAATATTTAAAGCGTATCTAAGCAACGTACTGTTTGTTAAATTCTTAAGACCTCACTGTGCGGAAAGCCAATAAAAAGGCAACAATTTAAATATCAGTTAAATGTACATTTTCACATTTTCAGCCCAAATCAAAGTTCACAGGTGAATTTCAGCAGATTCTTCTAATTTCAGGTAATGTGACGTGCAGTATGCCGAAAGCGGACAACTTAATTGAGCGGCTATTGCCAATGCATGCCGCGCATGCGCAGAAATCCGACGGCGACAAGCGACGCGTTGTTTCGTACCAAAACAAACAACTCTCTTAGCCGCGGCTAAGGCCAACTCTTATGTAGCTGCTCACTTTCCATGCTCCGGAAGAGAGTGGAAGTCGCTTTCACAACCAATACCAAGCCAGCTGAATTGTTTGCGCTCTTAGCTGGAGTGTGGCGAAGACGGGCTATGGTATAAAACTTCTTACGTATGCGCGTCATGGCTTAATCTTACCTTGAACTTGGTCGTGTTGAGATCTGCGCTCATAGCCACAACTTCTAATGCGACAACTCGTGGCAAGATTGTGTGCGACCCGTTGAATTGTCGCGTGGTGTAGACAGAGGTGGACAGCTCATTAGCTTTATGCAAATGACACGGTGCCGCTACTTCTTCGAACACACTAGACCAACACCATAAATTAAACAAGTATTGTGTGGCTTAAAACAATCGGACACATAGCACAATCATCGATTCTGTGACGCGCGTAGTGAGTGAAATATCTGTTTTAAGAAATGGGCACAAGACGCCGTTGTTCTTTTGCGTGTCGATAAATGTGCCTAAACAAATCAATGCGACCATAAACTGTGGCATTTCGTCTAACGGTGCATGTGTGTGACATATCCGTAGAAATTTCCATCCATACTAGAGACAAAAAATAATTAAATAAAAATCAATCGGCATTTGTGTGCCTGCTATCCAACATGGACTGGCCACGTTGCATGGCAGCGTCCGGACTCGTAGTCTGTCTGCTGGCGTCTTTAACGCACGCCTGGAGTCTGCCATCATCATCATCATCATCATCATCCTTGACGGCCTCAAACGTCGTTGATGGCTCCAACTCAGCTTGGTCGCCGTTGAAGTCGCCGTCCAGCTCAAAAGTGACGTCTGCACCTGTGGGCCGACAACTAAATGGTAAGTTGCCAAGTCACTGACGAGGCCGAAACGCAAAGATTTGCCTTACACTTTACTGTGATGATGACTCAGCTGGCTCAAGACTTCGTTTCGCCTTGTGAAGTGTAACGAATATATCGTATTTAGCGGCTGCCTGGCCGTTTAATAAAAAGCGTTTTTACTCCAGTGAAATTTTCGCTCATTAAGTAGATGTGAGAGTGGAAAAGCAGTATCAGCAATTATATAATATATAGGTCTACTTTTTATATAAAAGCAAGTATTTTATCAGTTCGGCATACAAAGAAAGTTAGCCAAAAAACCAAACACGCTCTAAAAAAATTGCATTGGGTGACAAACAACGATGCTTTTGGATTGCTTTTCGTTACAAATGCATATAAAGATGGTCAAACAAATATAAGTCTACTTTTACAAAAAAATAAAAAAAAAAACAAGGAATATACAAAAACAAACAATAGTTTCCATTTGTGTTTTTGGTTATACAGCACGCAATTAAATGGAAGGTGAAAAATAGCGCCGGAGAAAACGTTTTACATGAGTTCGGCATTAAGTGTTTTGAGTGAAATTAGTTATAAATAACATGGCTATAATTATTTGTTTTAAAAAAATAATTTTTTAAAAAAAATAGAAGACCTGAAAAATGAAGGCAAAAAATTTTTTTGCGCTGTTTTATGCCTTTTGTTTGCTTAATTGGATTAAAAAGTTGTGAAGCAAATTTATGCATATATTTAATCTAAAAAGTGAGCTATACTATAAATAATGCTGAAGCCAGTAATAAAAGGAAAAAACATAAAGACTGTTGAACACAAAATTAAACAAAACAAGTTTGCTATAATCGATTATTTGCTACTTATTAAAAGTTGTCACATTTTTTGATATTATCAACAATTATTGCAAATATCACATCAACTACAAAAATGATTAAAATGTTTACTTTTTTTTGACAAATCATAAGACAAAGCATATATATCTGTTATCAAATCATTTGCAGAATGTGTGTTTCATGTCATGTCATTTTAGGATTGTGTTGTTTTTATTGATTTCCAACACATTCTTCAGCAACTGTGATAGTTATGTTGGGGATGGGTGCTGATAGGTATAGGCCAGATACTAGAAAGTTAGCCATATTAAAATTCAGTATCATGATGACTGCTTTAATTTCATCATCACTCAACTGGGGAAGTAAAGTAGTGCTTAATTACTTAATCGCCAGAATCAACTTTGTGGTCAACCGTTACCAAGAACAGTTAATCAAGTTTGATACAATAATACTCTAAGCCTTTCTTTAAGAAATTAAAAATTATAAATTCTTGGCAAAATTTAAGTATTTTAAAGAGCTAGTATGAGAAAGATTTGTTTTACACTGGCACTTTTCCAAAAATATGCAATATAAACAGCAGACATCAAAGCTAATTTGTTCAGAAATTTGTTTACTTTTAATTTAATTTAAACCTCAAAAATAAATGTACAAAAATGTTTATAAAAGCCTCTGACACATTGATGGAATTTTAGTTGCCATTCGGCAAACTAGGCCCTGATCCACAGCCAAATATAGTCAGAAACCATATTAAATAAAATCCATATTAACACCATATTAAGTAAAATAGAAAAACCTAATTCTAATTACAAGTAACAGCAATTAAATTACTTAAGGAATAAAAAGAGAAATATGAAGAATAAAATGCAACAAGACTTTGCTCCAAGTAGAAGCGATATATAGAATTTGTGTTTGTAAGTTGTCTATGTACTCAATATATAAAAAGGTGCATACTACAAATGTGTAGAATATGTAGAACTACAAGTATGTGCAGAAATGCATTTAAAATATCAGCTTTGTTGGAGTGACAAATAACAATTGGCTTACACAGGTCTACATGTTGTAATAGATTATTCAGATCTTATAACAATTTATATATGTATAAATAATTTACATGTTAAACAAAAACTGCTGATATTGTCAGCATTTGTTTATGTTGTTGAAAATTAGAGTTTAACAGTTGTAGGGCAGAAGCGCGTTCATCATTTGAGCACTTTAAGGCATGTCGCAATCGATTTGTGCAACTCCAACCACATAATTACACCCAACTTACATACTATACTTACTTAGCTAGTAGCCCGTCTAATTGTAGCATGACAGGTGCCACAAGTGCCGCCAAGTTGCTTGCAGCGACACAAATTCCCAGTGGCTTTCATGGGCAATGCAGCAGAACTGAACAGAACAGAACAGAGCTGAACTGAACCGAACCGAACAGAACTTAGCCGAATGGAATAGAGCAGAGCAGTAGTGTTTAAGCTGCTAATTTGGGGCTCAAGTGACAAGCCAACAATTCGCTGAGGAGCTTGTGCAGGCCGAGCAATTAGCAAGAAGCCTGCACTTGTGCGCGTTTGAGAATCATCAGTTGAGCGTAAGTGTGTAGTGGGCATGTAATATAGGTCATATATAACTAAACCAGAACTGTAAGACACACACATGTGCATTGACGGATGAGCACGCAGAATGTCGAGTCATTAAAGAACTCACAGCTTTAAGCATAACAAAAACAAAAGCAAAAACACAAATTACGGAGACTAAAACAAGGTGATGTCTTAGTTGTGATAGTGTCAGATTTAACTGGCCACGGTATTTAACTATATAGTGTGTACGAGTGTGTTTTTGTGCACTTAAAACTTGACCAGAAACAAGAAACAAGCCGAAGACAACGCACAGTGGGTTGATCTAAAGCAATATCTTCTACTAGTACACTTATTTAAGGCATGTATGTACATATATAGTATTCTTAATTTGTATAACAAGACGCAAAGCATTCAAAAAGTATAAGAGCTAGAAAGAAACAATCGAATATAACTTTTAAAAATAAGTAACATATCGTTAGATAGCAAAAGTAGTGAACAAAATGGCAGAAAAATGGAAGTCTAAGCAAAAAAGCACAGATATATACGAAAAATAATGAAGGCTTTTAGATCGTTACGGTATTTTAATTACGTATATTTTTAGTTTATTTCTTAAAAAGTCATTGTTTATAAAATAAATCATGAAACCGCGAGAACAAGTAGGAATTTTTATAAATAATTGAAGGATGCTAGTAACTTTGAAATAAGTCTCTTGTTTAAAGCAATTCAAAAATACACTGTGCGGATTTCTTACAAGGCTTAAAAAATAACTATATACATACAAGAAATGAAAAGTAGAACCACTTATGATAATTCATGCTAGAATGTTTACTTGTGTCCCTTCTCAGACAAAATGTCTTAATTTCTTATAAGAAACAAAACTCTGCCCTAGGAAGTATTTATAACACGGGCTTTTAATGTTTGGCTTAAGTTAATAGAAAAACATAATTAATTTTGTTTAGTGACAATATTTTTGGGATATTTTTATATACTATGATCCTTTTTAATCATTTTTTATAGCCTGTACCCAAAGGGTGTGCGCATGTATGTAACACACAGAAGGAGGCGTGGCAGACCCCACAAAGTATATATATTCTTGATCAGGATGAGAAGCCGAGTGGATATAGCCTTGTCCGTCCGTCCGTCTGTCCGTCCGTCCGTCTGTCCGTCTGTCTGTCCGTATGAACGCAAGGATCTCAGAAAGTATAAGAGCTAGAATAACCAAACTTGGTAGGTAGGTACATCCAGTTAGTACTAATGTGTCCGTCTGAAGAAAGTTATAGCCATAAGTAAAATCGCTGGTCATGCGCTGCTCATGCGCTGCCTGCAGCGCTACCCGCAGCCGTTGTTGTTGTTGCTGCTTTGGTTCAACTTTGTGCTGCATACATACACGCATATAAACACGCATAGGTACGTGATGTAAATGTATGCTGTTAAAACTGATTCTAATTTAATTTAATTAATTAATTAATTCATTCATTTTTTTAATAATTTAATTTTTTTAAAATTTTTATTTTTATTTTTTTTTTTTTAATTTTACAGGCTATTTTACTGTCGGGCTTGCTCGACTGTAGCGTTCTATCTTGTTTTAAATGTTCCGTAACACTTTCTTATGGCCAAAAGCAAATGTTTCTTTAGTATCGTAGTACCGGACTTGATTTGGGACCATTAAGATTCAAATATGTTTGGTTGAAATTTCTTTGATTATCTAAATAAAACATCGACTGAATTGGAACTTATTGTTGGAATAATAAATATATAGGCTAAGATCTAAATGTTATGTACAATTGGCAAATAAGCCATTTTTCCAAAACCAAACGATGGAAAAATATTTAATTGAATTAATTTAATTTATTGGGAAATAATGACTCCGGTATTAGCACATACATGCAAGTTAGCATATTGGGATGCCTACAGAAACCTTTCTTCAATTAACTTTTTTGCAAAAAAAGATTTTAAAACTCCACTCAATTTGTGGCTAAGATAAGGCCTAACAATTTCATTTATGTTTTATACATCATCGTCACAATGTGAGGCATTTCGAGTGGAGTCGAGGCGCGAACGACGCGACGTTTCAAGTCAATTTTTTTGGGCGCTGTACAAATTGTGCCAACAACACAAACAAGTTGAAAAAATGCTCGTAATTGGGTTATAACCGTCATATACTTATATATATATATATATATATATATATGTACATATGGCTATATGTGAGGTGCCTGTCAGTTATTTAAATGCGACGCACTGCCCAAGTGGAAGAAAAAACTGAAAACAAAATCACGTTCGTAATGTGAAAAGCGTCGGCGACATTTTTGCGCAAAAATGAAAGACAAGACAAAAAAAAAAAAAACAAAAACAAAATAACAAAAATGAAAAGTGCTGCCCGCGTACTCCACTGAAAAACAAATCTAATTTCATTTTTTAATTGTCGTGTTTGTTGTTGTTGTTGTTGTGGACAGACAGGCTAGCCAAGTGGCACGCAGGCATCTGTGATGCCGTCTGCCTAGTTTGGCAGGCTGGCTCAAGAGACGAAAACAAAAAAACATAAAAAAATAATCTGGCACCGGTTGTGCAGCAGGCTTACTTTATTGCCAAGATCCATTTGTGTGGAT